GGGCCCCTCTGCCCCTCACTGCCCTGTGCTGTATGGGGGAGCTCTGCCAGGAGGTCCCAGAGTCCCTGCTCCTGCAGTGAGTAGAGGCTTTTTTTTAAATGCTGGAGGCTGGGGTGGGGGGGCAGCCATTGCAGAGGGCTGGGGGTGCAAGCAGGGGGTGGGCCCAGGTGTGGCAGCCAGTATTGGTGTTGATGGTTTGGTCATTCTGAGGGACCTATTTTTAGACTTACTGCCATTGTCTCTCAAGCACCCACATTCATCCCCATTCATCCAGGAACCAAGTTACACAGGAGGGGCAGATATGAGTCATAGACCAGGGGACACAAGATGGAGGCTTGACATGACTTATGCTAACTTACATATGTAGGCCTAAAACAGTAATCACACAATATAAAAGCAGTAAAAAAAAAATACAAACATAGTAATTATCACTTATAAAACAGTGGATATCGATATCAAAATAGCAGGGCACTTGTTTTCAAAGAGGGGAGAGAAAAATAAAACTTACTACCTAAAATAAAATGTTAAAGCTTATTCTACATCTTAGTTTACTTATACTTATCTATAGGGAATAGAGAGGGAGAGAAAGAAGTCAGAAATGGTTGGGAGAGGGGAGGGAATACATTTTAAATTTTTTAAAAGAAAAACGGGGGGGTTTGCTACAGCTTCAGGTCACAGCCAGGCAGCAGCTCCCACTGCCAGACTGCTGCAGTGGGTAAAGGGTACAGGGAACTCTCAGGGCTGCTTCAGCAGTTCAGCTGGCACAAGGGGTAATGTCCCCAGGTACCAATTGGCTGGGCTCCAGAAGCTCCTGAGAGTGAGTAACTCTGAGATACTTGACAGGGCACCTTTTTGTACTGCTGAGGCCAGGACAGGGCAGCATTTTATACTGCTGGGGACAGCATAGGTGCCGGCCCCAAGCTCTAGCTTCCCCTGGCTGCAGATCCAGGAGGAGCCAGACAGGAGGGTTATTTTGCCTCAAGTGGCACAATTTCTCCCACACCAAAGTACATGTCCAGGCACCTGCACTGAGGCAAAAAGCCCCGGATCAAATTTGCACTGCTTCTATTTGAGTTCCTGCAAGTGCACATGCCTGCATGTGTGGATGCGCCCAGTGAGTGCAGTGGCAACAGTAAGTAGATTTCCCCTCCTTGCCCAGTCTCTGTGGGTGTGCCCCACCAGCCCAGGGGCAGACGGCATGGGGGAAACCTGCCTACATCTGCTGCTGTTGTCGCTGTCTGTAGATGAGCCTGGCTTCCTTCTCAGCCTAAACTGGAGCAGAGCAGGAGCAGCTATGCAGCTACCCTGCCCCTGTGCCAGCCAGGGGCCAATGGCAGGCAGCAGAATGATGAAATGGGAGAGGAGGGGATGTGCTGCTGAAAACAAAAGGGAAGGGAGAGGGAGCTGAGGGTTGGGGTAGGGATAGGGGAGCTAATGGCCGAAGATCAGCTGATCACGGCCCCACACCTCTCTTTACAAAATCCTGGATCTGCCTATGATGCACAAAGATAGTAAAACTGGGCATAAAATACAGTTCTAAAATGTTCTAAATTGTGACCCCTAGAATGCTTATAACAATCTCAATATGTATTAAATCTACATACAGTCAAAAGTCTCTATGAACACTGGAACTTACAGGCAAGTTCTTTAGCTCCCAAAACAAGCTGCTCCTATTGAAGTCAAAGGAAATCTTTCTTAGCTGTCAGAGGTTGCAGGTCTCTCACTTCTTCTGGGTGCCAGGTTCTTGAGGTTAGCACATAGATATATGGCTAGCATATTATTGGGAGAGTGGTAGATTCAGGGTTATTCCTTCATAGGAAAGATATTTGTGACCTCAAATGCCAAGCCACAGACATATCAGACAGTCAACTTTCAGACATAGGAAAAAGATGTTCCCAAAGCCTGGATTTGCTGCTGCTGCTGTTTCTTCATGGCTAGTAATCAGCATTTGGTGCCTGTAGATGTGTGGGGACATGGCTCCAATGCACTGTAATTACAGCACTTTGGAGAAGACTTAATTAATGGAGTCTGGTGGAGTGTGCACTCTCCAGCAGCCTCCGCATCTCATGTTTTCAGCATCCCCACACTTCAACATGGTGGCAGGAGCACTTTAGCTCAAGTTCTTTCAATGACCTTTAGTAAAACACCCCACCGCCATTTTGAAGCACAGGACACTGAATACACAAGACACTGCAGGCACTTTAATTAAAGCACTCCACCCCCCCACCCCCAACCTGTACACCCTCTCCCATGAAGCACATGTAAAGATGCCCTCATCTTTCAGAAAGAAGATAATTAGCTGTATGAGTCTCAAGTCAGGGAAGGGTAGCACCTTAAACACTAACTGGTTCAGAGAAGCATAGGCTTGTGTAGGTGACAGCTAAGTATTTAATGCTAAGTACTTGGTTTGAGAATGACTTGCTGTAGTTAAATGATCCTTCAGCAATGTAAAAATTTCCCACCACTGCTACTGCTTTTGCTACTGCTACTGCTGTCAATGTCAGTGGCTGACCCTAGCTTTCCACACAGCCCTGGCTGGAGCAGGGCAGGAGCAGCTATGGACTATATACTATCTCATAGCTTTGTACTATGAACTAGTACACAAAACAATGGAAGATATCACCAACAAAAATTATTGCTTCTCAGATTTGAATAATAACCGTCAAAGGTGGGTTAATTTATGTTAGCATTCATTTGTTTAAAGCAGCCAAATTAGAAACAGATATGAAACATAACCCTATATCAATTCTGTGGATCTTCAAATAAGTTTGGAGTTGAGTCCAAACATTGCCTGTGAATTAATTTCTACTCAAACTGGAAAGTAAATGATCAAGACATTATTGCCAGTAAAATGATTTGGCATCCCCATAAAGTCTGTTTGCCTTTGCAAACAGGTTTGTTATATAGCCATCTCAAAAAATAGGTAATGCCCTCTACAATTGTCCATTATTCTATTTATATTACAAACCACTGGACAGTTTTGTGTTACCTGTCTCCCATTCATTAGATTTGTTTGTTCCTAGCTGCGTAGTACAGAGTTATAAATTGTATTATACAGCTCACTCTGTAATATGCTATCGTTTAAAAGATGTAGTTTGGTTATCCCCAATTTCTTATTTATTTTTACTTTGCTGTAAAGCTGGTCAGTATTGATAGAAATGAAAACATTTTTCTTCATTATTTCTCCACTGGCTAATGCTGAGAATGTAAATGTAAATATATGTGCCTTATTATTTACTGGAAGCAGCACCATCTACTGGAGAAACTAGATGCCAGGTTCAAAATAATATAGAAACAATGTATAACATGATAACAACTGCAACTATTAAATATACCCTTGAAAGAGTGCGCGCATGCGCGCGCGCGCGCACACACACACACGGTTGCTTTTCATTTCATAGAGGGACAGAAAAATTAATAAAAGAGGGCAGAGATAATTTTTATGCCATCATTGCTACTTTCAGTTAATCTCTCTTCTAGAGGTCACAGTGTAAGCTGCATACTTGGAAAAAATCTTCATCAAGAGACGCTGCATTTCTGCAGATACTCATACCTACACTGACAGCAATAGGACCACTTTGGTCAAGTAGTTAGTTCAGAAATCTAGAAGACAGGATTAAAGATTTTGCTCCCAGTTTTTCTACAGACTTCCTGTATGACCAAAGGGAAGTCATTTAATACTATGCTCTTCCTATTTGTACAATGTGTTTATCACCCAATCAGCAAAACAATAGCCTCTCTCCATTACTTCAAACTCTTCTTAAATGGCTTAACACCTGACCTGTTGATTAGCTCCAAAAAGTCCTAAGCGGTCACTGTTCTGTCTGCATGTCCCACTGAAAATGGAGACACACATACATCTGCAGTAGCTAGCATACCACATGCATAGGGTCCATAGGGCTAGGGTCTGTGCTGTGGGAGATGGGAGGGAGGGAGGGAGGGAGGGATTTCCTGCTTGAGTAGTGAGCAGCAAGGTGGAGGTAGTGCAGGGGGAAGCCAGACAGACCCTGCTGTGCCTGCCCCCTCTGCCAGAGGTCCAGCCAGGGAGCAGAGGGGAGGGGCCATCCCTGCTGTGAAGTAGAGAGCCCTGCACAACCCAGAGAGCATGCCAGGATGCTGCGGGTGTCTGGTTTATCTTAAACCAGCAAGGGGTCTGGGACAGACATTGCATGTACCAGTTTGAGCCAAATCAGTTAAGTCTGATACTACTTTCAACCAGGTTTATCTCAAACTGGTTTCAGCCATTTTCAAACTGGTTTATGTGCGCTGAATGTCTGTTCTGTTACAGGTTTAAACCAGTTTCTGATCACTTAAACTGGTTTATGTGTAATGTCTGTCCCTAGCCCATAGCAACACAGTATGAGTAAGAGCTTTAGAAAGGAGGACCTTCCTTTTGCAGCATCAGAATTTAAGTTATTTTTGGAATTATAATCACTCTTAGATGTGCAGAGAAGAAGCACGTGGCATCGTTATAAACTGAAGGAATTCTACCTTTAGTTTACTAACTGTATAACATTTTTATTGCACCTTAAACATGCTGCTGTCTCAGGACTGAATATTTTCTCTCTTGCAACTCACCCCTATGTAGTTTTTACTAGAAATCCATATTTAGGTAAGAAAAAGAAGCATTTTACTTAGTAATGTATTTTTGTTTCAATATGATGGAATATTATAACTGCAAGCATCAAGGATTTATTTCATCAGCATTATACATACACACACACACACACAGACATTAGGGATATGAAAGGTTAAATGATTAATCATTTAACTGATAAGTGCAGTGACAACTGGTTAGCTTACCAGTTATCCTTTAGCTCAGGCTGGGCACAGTGCTCATTCACAGGTGCTCCCTCCCTCCCAGTGCAGAGCTTCACATGGGCTGTGTTGTCTGCCTGGGCTTGCCTCCTACTCCCCTCCCTTCGATCAAAGAGCCCCAGGAGGCCCGGAGCAGCTCCCAGCAGCAGCTGTGTCTGAGCTGCTGTGTTATTGGGTAATCATTTAACCAATATAATTAAATGAGGTTAAACTAATATTTTTTAACAATATTTACATCCCTAATATACATGTGTGTGTGTGTGTATATGTATACTGCACTATATATGATAAATATTTTGATACAGATCTGTGACCCCAAACAGTGTTTTGCAGCCTTAAAATCTAAAAGTGGTCAGCTAAGAATTCTTCTGATTTTTCTATTTGGCATAGAGACATATTGGGTAAGTAGCCAGAGTCTCTTGAAGTTCAGTGATCCCTGGCTGCTGCAGTAGCCTCTGAAATTTTTCTAGGGATTGTGGGAATGCAAAGTTAGCTCTCACACATCCTGCAGCATACAGCAGTAAAAATGTAAATTAGATTGTTGTTATATAGAAGTTCATAAATGTGTTATTTATTAGTTAGGTGACCAGTTCAGAAATAAAAACACCTTTTCTTCTTCTTTCCATTATATTGATGTGAGCCTTGGGTTGGCGGTAAACAGGGACTCATTTTAGCTAGAGTCAGTCATCTATGAACTGCAAAGTATCTATATGAGCTGATGAAGTTCTTCATTGTGAACTGGAGGTGATAATCAGTGTGCATCTTCAGTACCCTGTCACAAATTTTAGAATGAGCTTAGGATATAATGAGGTCTGTGACAACTTTAGGGATATCCCAAATAAATTACAGTCTCAGGGTGAACTTACACGTCACTCTTAGACCCCGCTAAATATATAGCAAGTTAAGTGGTGTTAAAGTTAGAATGTGCTGTGAACAGTCGCATGTTGAGAGTTCTTGTCTGTTTCTTGTCTGCACAGCTCCGACTTGCCACTAGAGGGCTGTGGAGCAGAAGCATGGCTAGGAGCCAGGACACCTGGGCTCTGTTGCTCATCTTATCTCCGTGGAACAGACAGAAGTTACCCTAACATGAGCTAGGTACAGGCAACCCCTGCTTAACACTGTTTCACTTAGTGCTATTTTGCTATAACGCTCATTTTAAATTGATACCTGATTTCCCTTAGCACTCAATGAGTTTCATTATAGTGCTCGTGGTTGCCATCTTGGGTCATTAAAAACCATTGCAATCACCATCTTGGGTCATCAAATACTTTCAGTTTCACTTAACACTCGTTTCACTTAATGCTGGATTTTTCAGGAACCAATTAAGAGCGCTAAACGGGGGTTGCCTGTAGTATGGTCTAGAGTTAACACTTGCCTGAAGTGGCATAACTTTAAGATGCTCAGAGGATGCTTAGTATGTGTTAATGAGCTTTAACATGTAGATGCTTGTGTTTTAAGTGCCCTTGGTATGGTCTAATATAACATGTAACTTTATCCTTAGGTCTTGTAGCTGCTGACATTGTTAATGTCAGAATTAGAAGTGAAACCGTTGGAAATTAGGCTAGCATTGTGGACTGGACCTAGACTGTTCTCAGTGGTGGCAGATGACAGAACAAGGAGCAATGGTCTCAAGTTGCAGCAAGGGAAATTTAAGTTAGATATTAGGAAAAATGTTCTCACTAGAAGGGTAGTAAAGCACTGGATGAAGTTACACAGAGGAGTTGTGGAATCTCCATCCTTGGAAGTTTTTAAAACCCATCTACACAAAGCCTTGGCTGGGATGATTATAATTGGGGGTGGTCCTGCTTTGAGCTGGGGGTTGGACTAGATGACCTCCTGAGGTCCCTTCCAACCCTACTTTTCTGTGATTCAATAACTGCCTATGATGCTACAGGATATTACTTAATCACAATCACTAATTAAGTACAAGGTAATCACAACTATTTTTTTTCTATTTTAAAGCCTTTTTGGACATTTAAATCTGGCATAACGTTCAGCTTTTCCACGACTGAAAATAAAATTCTGCATTTGTAAACATATGCAGATACTTGCAGATAGATTATACATTAATATTTTTAAACATTTTTTTTTTCCTACAGAGCTGGATAGTGCTGAGGAACTGGAAAAGAAGCGTATCTGCAGAATCATAACAAAGGATTTTCCTCAGTACTTTGCAGTGGTTTCACGAATTAAGCAAGAAAGTAACCAAATTGGTCCTGAGGGAGGTGTCTTGAGTAGCACAACAGTGCCACGGGTCCAAGCTTCCTTCCCTGAGGGAGCTCTAACCAAAAGAATCCGAGTGGGCCTCCAGGTAATAAAATGTACCAGCCATTGTTATTTTAATTTGCAGAATGTTCTGCAATTGAAGTATCCAAAGTGTGAACTAAAAGTAAACTATAAGGCTATGCCAGATGGCTCTCAGCTGGAAAAGGCAGTGGTCACTAGAATCGAGCCTGAGCCCAGGGACAGGAGGAAAGAAACAGCTCAACTACCTATCTCCTGTTGTTCCCTACTTTCCTCTCACTCACTGCCTGTAATGAGAGCTGTTCTTCTGTCCCTCCTATTCACTGCCTGTATGCTGCTCAGCTAAGTCCAGGAGAAGCATCAGTCTCTGTTAGGAAATATCGTCTGAATGGAGAAAAAAGCAAAGGCTCAGGGCAGTACCAATCATCACCTCTTCCTACCCTTAGACCACCAGTTCTGCACCCCAGCCAGGAGCTCTATCAGTGCATGTGAAGTATATAAAGAAGCTACAGAAGCCCCGAAGATGCTGGAGAAGCAGCCGGTGCGCGTGGCACAATGGTTCTACACCCTTGCAGCTTCCACTGTAAGGGGATGTTTGAGAGTAGGAGCTTGAATGGCTTTCAGAGCCGCTCTAATTAAAATGCTCTCACCCCTGAAGCATGTGTAAAAATGTCCTAAAATACTAAAAGGAGAAAAAAAATTATTTCCCCTTTTGAAAAGATTCTGCTTGTCTAAAAAACAGTTTTCTTTCATAACTTGAAATACTTTCTCTCTCCTCATAGGCACAACCAGTTCCAGATGAGATTGTCAAAAAAATCCTTGGAAACAAAGCAACTTTCAGTCCCATTGTCACTGTGGAACCAAGAAGAAGAAAATTTCATAAGCCAATAACCATGACAATTCCTGTGCCACCCCCATCAGGAGAAGGTGTAACCAATGGGTACAAAGGAGACACCACTCCAAGCCTTCGACTTTTATGTAGCATTACAGGTTAGAGCAGAATATACTCCTTGCAAAAGTTTCCTTAGTAGTAATGCTTCCTTTGTTTTACATACAAGAGCCAGTAGTTGATGAGACAAAGCTCAGTGAAGTCAAGGAAAAGATTCCATTTCATTCTGTGGTTTGAATCTAGCCATATGCCAGGGGTCAGCAATCCTTGGCATGTGTGCCAGAGCATGGCACATGAAGACATTTTTTTGGCATACCAGCCCTTAGGGCAGATGGTGGGGGATCTGTGAGGGGCCTGATTCTTCTTGTGGCAGTGTAGCCTCAGCCACTTCCCCACCCCAAGGTGTGCATGCACCCACCAGCAGCAATGAGCTGGGCCAGGGCCCTGTGGACCCCAGTGCAGCCTCTTGCAGCCTCCCAGTTGCCTGCCACAGCTGGCTTGGACTCTGGGCAGGCCCCTGCTGCCCAACACGTAGTGCAAGCAGCTTGCAGCAGGGGGTGGAAAGGCTGCAAGCAGCTGCACCAGGGTCTGTGGAGCCCCAGCCTGACTCGTTGACAGTGACAGGTGCCCATGTGCCTTGGGGCAGATGACAGGGAAGGGGCTGGGGATTCACTGCCACAAGAAGGATTAGTCCACTCATGGCTCCCTCACCCCTTTCCCACCATACTAGATAGTAGTTCCCCCTCCTTCCTCCTCCTCCTCCTCCTCGCTTCTCTCTTCCATCTTACCTATCCTGCCACCTTCAGGGGCACCGTGCCACTTCCCTTCCCCCAGTTCGCTGCCAAACTGCCCCCTGCCAAGCACTAAACAATAACTGATAAGTAGATTTTGTATTTACTGTAAAAAAAAAAAAAACTTTTATTTTTTGGCTTGTTTCCCCCCCCCCCCCCCCCATTTTGTTTGGAATACCAACAGCTTACAAGTAGACGTTATGATGTGATGATTTTTTTTTTTTTTTATATTCTGCCCAAAAACATTACCTACCCCTGCTCTATTCCTTTGCCATATCTATGTTACAGTAGACTTTACATCTGGTCCACCAATGACTTGGATCTGGCCAACACGGGACACCTGCCAGTTGACTGGATCTGGCCTGCTGCTGCCCCTGTGGTGCTCTGTATGGGGCCAATTCCTGCCTGGGGCAGCCCACACCATGCTCCAGCCTGCACCTGCTGGCAGTGTGCACAGCTTACTAGTAAGGCTGTTCCCAGTGCGGCTGCTGCTTGGCTTCCCTCGCCTCCAGTGGCAGCCCCTCCTCCTGCTCCTGCTGTGCTGCTCCAGGCTGGGAGGAAGCTTTAGCTGAGCAGCTCCAGCCCCAGCATGCAGGGCTCCAGCTCCAGCTTCTGGCTATCTTTCACCTACTTTGCATGCAGGTAGTTGCTCATTGCGCTGGGTGGACGAAATGAGTGGAAGGCAGCTGGAAGCTGGCACCAGACCACAGTGCGGTAGGGCAGGAGGCACCTGGGTGAAGCTTCCTCCTGGCCCAGAGCAGCACAGCAGGAGGATGAGCCACTACTGGAGGCAAGGGGAGAGTAGCAGCATCTGTGTGGCCCTGCTGAAAGATGTATACACTGACCAGGGCCAAGCCTGTGGGTGTGGGCTGGCACATGGCATAGGCTGCCCTGGGCAGGGCTTGTCTCCATGAGGAGCACCATGGGGGCAGCCACAGACTGCACTGCTTGGGCAAGCTCTGCTGGATGTGCCCCCTGCTCCCTTTTCCCTCCCCTCACCCCTGGCCAGCTCCCAGGCAGCTTCCCCACCCCCCAACACACACACCCACACACTCGCACACATGCCTCACCACCTCACCTCCAAACCCCACTATGGGTCAGGGGCCACCCAATAACCCCACCCTGTGATTCCAGCCTCACCTACCCATCTCATTCCTGAGCACCACTCCCCACATACCTTCTTCAGTGCCATCCCACATAGGGAGTTTTGGTGAGTTGTTGTGGTGGGAGTGGAAGGAGGGTAGGCTACTGACCCAGCCTGCAACAACTCATCAGAACTCCCTATGTGGCCCCTGGGCCCAAATAATTGCCCACTTCTGCTTTATATCAACAACCATTTAATAACCCTTTATTAAATGGTCAATAGGAAGAAGTGTAACTTTAATAACAGTGTTTTTGTGGATGGATGGCAATAAAATGCAGTCTTCATTAATATTAATGAGAGTTTTGCTATTGACCCAGCTGAGCCAGGGTACCACCTATAACGATTATCTGGCTGCATTTGGATCATTTTCTATAAGATAAGTAAGGTATTACTGAGATGTATGAGAGGATCTGTATCTAGACTCTTCATTTTATGTGCGATGCAAAGCAATTCAGGATGAAGACATCTTTTTGTAGTGTGTGAAAATGGATGGGTGCTTGCGGTATATGTTTGGTCTTACATGTGACTTATTTTCTTAGGAGGTACTTCACCTGCGCAATGGGAGGATATTACAGGAACCACTCCACTGACATTTATAAATGATTGCGTCTCTTTCACAACTAACGTTTCAGCCAGGTATAGTAATAGAAAATACCAAACAGACACAATTAATAGTTTCCTCAAATTAAAACTCTTAAGATTTTGTGTTCAGCTTTCCATGATTCTTAAATATGGCAGATATAGGGATTATGGGCCAGATCCTTAGAGAAAATTGGAATAGCTCCATTGAATTTATTGAATGACTGATTTACAACAGCTGTGTGTAAATTCTTTCCAAAAAGGTGTTTTGTTAGGACATAGTCCTGCACAGCTCAACATTCCATCATCAGGAAATGCCATAGTTCAAGTTGCAAGTAAAGTCTTTCTTCATACGCATCAGGATACAATCTTTACTGATAGTTGCACCACTAGAAGCTGTTTTTCTGAAAAAAATCATGAAGTACACAGCTGTTATCCTGAATTCTCCTTCATACCTCCTCCACATTTTTCATTATGCTGCTGTGTTTAGCTTCATGTGGAGACCAATCCTAGAAAAGGGCAACTAAAAGACAAATGTTTCTGAAAGTTGCAAGCAACTGACCTCAGGAAGTTAGACTGCAAATGCCACTTAACCATAATAAATAATGTTTCTGTGCACCCTTTCTTTTTGTGACAGTACAGGATATACCTTGGAAAATTTCTCAGGCCAGCTATTGTAGAGTGGTTGCAAGTTTCAAACATATATATCACAATGGTTCACAAGTTCCTGAACCATGAAGCTGCCTTTAACTTTTGCCTTCAGTCAAATACAAACAAGAGACTCTCTAAACCAAATTTATATATCATTGTTTAGCCTGGAGAGTTACTACATTATTTTGCTGTCTCTGCCTCTCTCCAGTCCTCCTGGATAGAGTTTTTGTCTCTTCTCCATTAGAGAAAGGTGTAATTACTTGCTGCTGGTTAGTTAATGAGGCTCATTTGTCCCAATTAAATTAGCTTTAACAAGGAATCCAGCTGCTTTGCGCTGATGAATTCCTACATAGGCCTGGTCAGACTGAGGTTTTAGAATTTAGAGAGGTAGTTAGCCACATTAGTCTGAAGTCAGGCAGAAGGCAGGGTAGATTTGTACCTTTTAGACTAACTAAATCTGAGATGTACACTTACAAAAGCATAGCCTTTTGTAAGTGGAGGGTTTCAGGGGGGGTGCATGCGGGTGCACATGCACCCCATACAAAAAGGCACCACTGACACTGTCGGTGGCGCCTGTGAGCTGTCGCTGCTCACCACCTCCCCACCAGCACTGCCAGTGTCATCTCCCCACCGCTGACAGCACCAGCAACATCTGCGGAAGCTTCTGCCTACCACTGCTGCCCTCCCACCACCACCACCACACTCCTGCTGCCACCGTGCCCCCCGCCCCCACCCCAGCCACTAGGGGTACACATCATTCACACGTCATTCATGGAGGGCTTACTTCATTAGATGATTTGAAGGGACTGAAAGCTTTTTGGAATGTAATGTAACTATTAATCTTACTGTTCCTGAGAATAATAGTTGTAGTCATAGTCCATTTCCAACAGCTTGATTATATCCTTGCCTCTAGTTCAGATATATGGGTTTCCCCCATATGGTGCAAGGTGCCATATGGGCACGGGTCCCCAGATCTTCATGTGGGATGACAGCAAGCTGCTGCGGCCAGCAAGTGATATGAGTTTTGCTTTGAACAGTTTGAGGTGCAGTTTCCCAGAACCCAACACCTATCTCCTTGAAACTTGGTAGACTTCATGCCCTCGGAAGGGGCTACCATCCCTGCATTTTTTTTTTATCTGAATCGGGCAAGAAATGACAAAGTTATAGGCATTTTCATGATTCCCCATTATAGCCTATGGGTGTAATGTTGAAACATGTCAAAACAGCGAAACAGTTTCAACAAAATGAAACAGAACAGTGCTTTGAAATGAAATGATGAAATGAAACACTGTCCCTTCAAAATGGTGAAACAGAAATCAAAATGAAATGGTGCTGTTTCACGCAGCCCTAGAAAGCATGAATAGAGCTCCCATTTTTTTGTGGGAATTTTTTTCCCAGAGAAATTCTCATTTCAATAATAATGAAATTTGTAACAAACAAAAAAATACTGTTTTCCAGGAGGAAAATCCAGTAACCATTTTTAGTAAAAAATAAAAATAAATTCTGTTTGGGGATAAATTTTGATTTTGCAGCTTTCATTTAAAAATGTGGATGTCAACAATGATTTTCGTCCCCACAAAAGAAGCTATTTGACTAAATGTCATGTTTTGCCAAAATTATTATGACAAAATTACATTTTGATTTTAAAAAATCATCAACAGCAACAAAAAGAATTTAACTAGATCTTCACATAAATTCCATTAAAAATGCACATGCTGGTAAAGAGGATCTACCATGTATTTATTTTGGAATGCAGCACATTCATGATAATTAAATGCTTCACTGATAGATTTAAATGTAAAAAAGATATCGAGCTAGTGAGCCAAAGACATAAATCATAGCAAAGCATTGAATAAACTACAAATTAATGGTTTAGTAGTCTGCTGATATTCTAATTGTTACCATGTTCCTAAGCTTAATCAGAGAAATTGACAGTGTAATATAGATTCTGTAGGGAAGTGTCTTATCTCTTTGAGCAATGTAGACTTGTGGGATTTTGCTTTATCTTCCCATCTCTCTCCCAGTTTGGCCAGTATCATATTTTGGTGAATACTGATTGAACTCAGAGGAGTACAGTGCAAGCCATGGGAGCAAGATTGAATTTACCTAGTGTTTAGCCACAAAATACACACCATCTCTTCAAGCTTGTCCTTAAGAGTACTAAGAATGAATAGTTACAGGAGACACCCACATGAAGTACTAAAGATGCAGATGCTACCATCCCAGGCACCCTCTAAGGGCACATCTACATGTGCTATTAATGCACAGCAATAAACTCCACTGCATTTGCACATTCTCCTGGGACCACAACACATTGTGCCGGGTCGAAGCAGCCCTTGCTGGCAGAAGGCCCAGGGTGTCAGCCTGCCTGCCCGGAGTTGCTTTGACCCAACTCAGTGTGCTGCAGAGGGCCTGGCTGGGGCATGTAGGTGCTCCAGTGCAGGGCTAGCTGTCAGGTAGTCCCCAAACCGCAGCCCCCTTGTGCCCCATCCAACTCCATCAGTGTCTACACATGAATTGCTGTGCAGTAAAGAACTCTACTGCAGGATAATACTTGTATTTACATTTCCTGCAGTCTAATAGACTGTGTAGACTTTGTGATTTTATTGCAGAGCTAATTAGGCAGCTCCACAGTATACGTCTCATGTAGATGTGCCCTAAGCGATCTAAAACTCCAATAAAATTGCAACAAAAGCTCCCATTATTGCCACCGAGAAATGTTCAGTCACTGTATGAATCCAGAATGGCGGAAGAACATGGATTTCATTACAGAGATTGCTCTACCCCATGAAAAAGTGTCCCCATTTTGCTTCATTAGTGTTAGCACAATTCTTTATTGCTGGAGTAGAGCTTCTGTTTAAAATTGTGGCCTCTGTTTTGTGAAGTAAAATCTTTTTATAATGACAGTTGATTTAATGGTTTGTCTTTTCTTATTCAGATTTTGGCTTGCAGATTGTCATCAATTACTAGAAACTGTGGGGCTGGCCACACAGCTTTATAGAGAATTAATATGTGTTCCTTATATGGCCAAGTTTGTGATATTTGCCAAAATGAATGACCCAGTGGAATCCAACTTGCGATGCTTCTGCATGACTGATGATAAAGTAGACAAAACTTTGGAGCAACAAGAGAATTTTGAAGAAGTTGCAAGAAGCAAAGATATTGAGGTATAGTTCTAATTCATACAGACTTCCAGAGGTATAACAGGGCAGCTCAATGCCTGGGGCAGTCGCAACACATGGGGCATCTCCAACTGCTGTGGTACCTGTGGTGGTTGTGGAGGTGGCTGTGTTTGTGCCTTCTCAAGGGCTGCGGCCCTGGTCACCCTTTTCCCCGCTTCAGTTATACTGCTAAAGACTCTTCTTTGGTGTGTGTGAGTAGCTTATGTTCTGGTTCCAGTCTGTAAAGATGGGTTAGAGTGCCAGGATCCCACAAATAGGATCCACAACCACCGTACAAGGCTGTATGTAGAAACTATTTGGAACCAGACCAATCCGAGAAAAAGGAGATTTCTATATCAGAGCCCTTGACCTGACACTAGGGAGTGGGTTACTAGGGAATCAGGAAATGTTTCTGTGGAGCAGCTCTGCTCACTCATCACAACGTGGTGGGTTGGATTTACCTCCTCCTTGTCTAAAAAACATCTCCAGCCTTGAGTTGAGTTTCTCAGGTTGGTCTTGGAAATGGGAGGCTTTTGCAGGAAAAAGTAATACAACTAATGGTAAGGTACAGTATCTATAGTTAAAGTTGTACTGTAAAGTTGAAGCTGTATTTTAAACATTGTTATATCTACAGTTGAAGATGTATTTCTAAGCAATTTTACTCATAAATACTGTCAATTCATTAAAATTAATTTTTAAAAATTCTAATGTCATTTAATGGTACTGCAAAATTAGGTCAGTGTTGAACATAACATAGTTGATGAGTTTCTAGCTGAATAAACAGCTGCGAAGTGGGTGGTAATAGTGGCATAATTATGAGCTGTATCACACAAGAATCATTTTGCTGACTTTAACTTTCTCTTTTCTTGCTTCAACAGGTTCTGGAAGGAAAACCCATTTATGTTGACTGTTATGGAAATCTAGCCCCTTTGACAAAAGGAGGGCAGCAGCTTGTTTTTAATTTTTATGCTTTCAAGGAAAACAGACTGCCATTCTCTATCAAGGTAAAAGTAAATCCACCAGACCAAGTAGGCTGAGAAAATGTTTTTTCTAATGTAACAATATTCGTTCTATCTAATATGAAGAATCTGCCTCTGGGGAGTGAGTGTTATAATTATTTAACAGGTAGATGACCTGGGAGAGAGTCTACTGATGATTTTTTGAAGTTACAAGAGGAAGTCAGTGTCAGAGTATGTGTTCACAGCCCTTTAACAGAATCCTACTCTGGTACTCTTTATCCACACTGTGTTTAGTCTGAAGTGGTAGATCACTCCAGTGAGCAAAGAGATTACACATCCAGTATCATGTGTTTGGATGTGTAGTAGGGCTGTGCAAAATTTTGGCAGCCATTTAATTTTGGAGATGTTTCGACCCGTTTTGGCGCTCGAAACACCAAATCTGAAATGAACTGAAAGACTCCAAAACATGTCCGAAATTAAACAAAACCTTCCAAAATATTTTGGAATGTTTCGGATGTTTTGGAATGTTTCAGAGGCGGGCTTGTGTGGAAACAGAAACTCAGAAGAGGGAGGGGGAAGAAACAGGGGAAATGACTTCTCTGATTGACATCTGTAGCTGACCACTGTCTGCGATCTGGGGCCAGTGGTAGCACCAGTGTTCCCGGCACTCGGTGCAGGGTGCACAGAGCAGACTCAGGTGCTGCTGCTGGCCCCAGCCCTGCACACAGGGTGACAGCATGCTGCCAGAAAAGGTTATGAGTTTTGCTTTGAACAGTTTGAGGTGCAGTTTCACAAAAAACCCTACACCTATCTTCTTGAAGCTTGGTAGGCTTCATGCTCTCAGAAGGGGCTACCATCCCTACCATTTTCATCCAAATCAGACAATAAATGACAAAGTTATAGACATTTTAGTGATTCTCCATTATGGCCTAAGGCCAAAACACTGAATAAGAGTCAAAACTCCAAAACAGATTTGGCGGATTCAAAATGGGACAGTATTCTGAAACACCGAAATGAATCACTGTCCCTCTGTAATGCCAAATCTGAAAAAAAAAAGAAATATAGCCATTTTGCACAGCCCTAGTGTGCAGCTGATCTTATCCTGCCAACACGAGCACGCACATCCATATGTTACACATATGTAAACAACCATTTTCACACAATAACACCTCACCAATTTGAGTGTGCAAATGAAAGTATGGTCCCTTTTGTGAGTGCAAGTAGTCACATGTGGAAAGCTGGACAGAGAGAAATTCAGGTTATTCACAGGAGTATTACTTCTTGGAATGATGTAACTTAGAAGCTTGTTTTTAATCAAACCAAAAATCCTAAAATGACCTAATATTTAGGCTGTGATTATAATTTTCTTCCTCAGAAAGATCTGCTAGTTGATTCCTGGCTCAGTTCCTTTAGCTGTCATTTGGTTTCATATTAGGTGACTTTTCATGAAAGGGAACACTTTGTTCAACTCTCCAACGACCTCTTCTAGCTCTCTGATCTACTTTGATGGGCTTCTCCAGGAATTTGCCCCCTCTTTATTGGAAAAGGAGTCAAGCACAGAGAGTTTTCAAATACTCTGGTTCAGAAATCCAGAGTATATTAAATGTACAAATAAATATTTCAAGTATTTCTGGGTCAACTAGTACAATATCTTTTTTTAGATTAGAGATACCAGCCAAGAACCTTGTGGTCGTTTATCATTTTTGAAAGAACCAAAGACTACAAGAGGACTGCCACAAACAGCTGTTTGCAACTTGAATATAACTCTACCAGCACACAAAAAGGTATTTCTTCTAGGACTCTAGTGTTTAGTTGTTGTTTTCTTTTTTATTTAACTTTTTTTTTGCTATTAATAATGAAACCCTGTGAAATGAAAATGCTTTGTGATATGATTAAGGCTTTTGAATGTATGCTTCATTAGTTTTTGTATGTAATATAATTTAAGTCTCTTGTTACTGTGGTGTCAAGTTCCTCTGATTTTATGATGGATCCTCTGTTTATAGCTCATGTGTCAGCTTTCAGTTCACAGATTTTTATGCTTTCCATAATATCATGTGTTAATTTGCATTGGATGTAAGATTTTTATTTCTTTTATGTTGACATTTTGGGTTTGCTTTGCCTTTATAAATCGGCTTGCATTTTGTGCTCCCAACTTGGTCCTTTTCATATCCTGATATTCTTTTCCCTGCTGTCCATTATAATATTCCTTGTCTCTGCAATGCATCTTGGGACCAAAAGGAAACAGAGTCAGATCAAGATGATGAGGTAATATAAACACTGTCTTCTGTTATTATTTTCTCCAGAAATAGTGCAGAAAAATAAATATATTCTAGAAAAGCACTACAATATCTTTTAATGATAACATTGAATAATAGCACTGACAAGTAAACTATATCCCATATGTCTGATGTTTCTGTTGTCAAGCAATACAAGTGATGGCATGTGATGAAGTAGGATTATATGCTATAAAATTACGTGTGTGTGTTAGTATTCTGAATATTATCTAATTTTATACTAAGAGCATGATGTAATTAACAAGATACAAGTTAAGGTAATCTTTGCTGGAGATAAAATCAGTAGTTACAACGGAGGAATCTGGGTACATATGTTAACTTTCAGTCTTTCCTTAATCTGTATTTCTGGAGATAGGTGAACAAGGCATTTACACACTGACGCATTTATATTTTTATTCCTCAAAATAACCCCAACTTTCTGAAAAAGTGAAATAACTAGGAGTAACAGCTAATTATTTTATATGCATCTATTTTCAAATAAACTCTGGATATCCATAGCTTAAAAATCCATACTTTACCAAATACATTAACAAAAATTTTGTTAATATACATTTTATAAGTATAAAATGGGATAGAAGGGGTTTTAAAAGTGACAATAAAAAAAAATAATTTAAAAAACCCTTCAGAAACATTTTAACTATAAACAAACAGATTTCCTCTCATTTCAAACTGCTGATAGTGTTAGTCGCCTACTGACTAGAATCACATGACAGAATCCCTACATTTGAAAAAAATAACTATATCAATTGGTTTTCACATGACTTGGTGAGTGATTTTATAGCTATCTCAATAGCTCCCCTTTCCAAAAAGGAGCAGAATCAAGAGACCTGATTTCTCTGAAGATCTTTTAAATTAATAAATAGAGAAGCAAAAATGCCACACTAGCTCCTATGCCATTGGAAACAGTAACTTCTGATGCAGTTTAGTAATTAGCAATTGCATTCTGCTTTCTAATATGCACCTCTGCATTTTGTGCCTATTAAAATAACCCCTTTCATGCTTTTTTTTTGTCCTGAACGTACTCACTTTAAAGCAAATGTTCATTGTGATGTATGTGCTTTCAAGACAAATACATTTGGGGGAGAGAGATTTTTTTGCAACCTAAGTTATACTCTTATTAATGTTTTATGTCCATATCTGTAGTCTTTTGTCTGGATACTTCTGTTCGTAGCTAAGGCTGTCTTATTTTATAGAGGGGGAAAAATCGTATTATTAAGTAATATGAAAGATAATTAAAAAATAGGGGGATGTTATAATTTTGATGTAATATGTGGCTAGATTGTGACTTCAGACACTGCCCTAAGATGAGTGTGGTGTGTAAACTGTACTATTACAATATATACCTGAGAGGCATGGTGCCACATAAGCATCCCTCTGAGAATCTTTGCATTTCCTGCTTTTGCTCTAGAGGGATAGTAATTTAATGCAGGTTTACACCACCAGCAAATTACTACTACCTTTCATGCAGCAATGGTGTAAATAGGAATGGAGCCAGTCTCTGTCCATTATCCACCTCCCTGCTCTAGAGAGAGGCTATCACATATCATTGCTTATTCCTGTGTGCCGTTATGAAGCTGCAAGGTTGTATTCCAATTCCATTTTATGGGTGTGAAGGCCAAGAGCTAGCCCAAAGTATGCAGATTTTATTTTCAACCTGCTCAAGCTGGTAACAATGTTTCTGAAGATACCAAATAGAAGTGTGTTTTGTTACAGACAGAGAAAGCAGACCGGCGTCAGAACTTTGTTTCTCTTGCTTTACGTAAGCGCTACAGCTATCTGACTGAGCCTGGAATGAGTGAGTTGCTATTGCAAACCTACTAATCACAAACACAACTATGATAAGAAGAGACATTTTTTCTATACACATATTTTGGTGTCATTTGAAAAAAAAATCAATAGAAAAATTAGCTACAGCAAAATCCTCAATGGTCTCCTCTGTGTTAAGACAGAAAACTGGAGAAAACTGACTGGCAAGCAGTTGCTCTCTCTAAACCAAAAGTAATAAAAAAAGCCGTGTAACTCCTTGGATATAGCAAGGGGAACAGAATTGCCAATTGCAAACTACGGTCCAAAATACACTGTTCCTCCTTTCTTTATGCGGCTAATTAAAGAAATTATCTGTTTTATAAGTGATGCATTAAAAATAATGATGTGCACAGATCATTCAAATAAATTATAAAATGTTTGAATTTTTAGCTAAAGTTCATTTGAACTCTCTCATACTACTTCTTTATCCTCTCTTTTGCAATGTTTCATTATTTCCCATTGCCCCATCATTTTCTTCTTTTCTGCTCACTTCCCTTTGACATGATTTTAGGTCTAGCCCTGTTTCCCCTTTTAAATACAGTATATCTTCCCAAGCTCAAGCCTTAATTCATTTGTCTCCCTTCCCTTGTCAGAATTTGGCCCTTTGTCCTTCTTCACAGTCTTTTCCTCCTCTTCTCAGACCTTGTATCATCACAGTCTCCATCTCCCAATTGGCATTTTGATATAATTTCATACAATCTATTGATAAATATAATTTGGTCTGCCAATTTTCATTGGTTGGATGCTGAGGAATGATCTCACGAGCTCTTTGGTTTCTTTGGGTTGGAGATGTTCCAGCCTATACTGTATTTCTCAAACCCTGAAGAAAACCTGGAGCATATGAGTTGTAAGACCTCACCCATTCTTAAGGAAACTACTAAACCAGCTGGGACCTCACAGGAGGCTCTGAGATATTATCCAAAAATTTGGGGAATGAAATGAACCAGTTTTGGGTAAGGTATTCATTAAGAGTTTGAAGGATGGATATTTTTTTTCAATTGGTTTCTGAAGATTAATTTAGAAACAGAATGTTTATAATAATTCACCAATGATTCATCATGTCTCAATTACAAAAATGTGAAAAAACCTCAAATGAAGTGGAAAGCCAAGAATGAAAGAAAGATTGAATAAGGTATAAGAGCCTCTGATCATAATTTTGATGTATCACCTTCTACAGATTTGCAGAATGGTTGATGATTGTGTCCCCAAACATTTAACTCAGATACATTTTCTTTGCAGTTTGGAAAAGAAAAGCTGTTTTTCTTTACTTTTACCCTTCTATTGTCACCTTCAAAGAAGGGTGTTTGAACTAAAAAATCAAGACTAGCCAGCAGACAGAAAACTTCAGAATTGTGTAATGAGTAACCAAAGATGGTAAAACAGTTTGTCAGAAGCTGATACTCAAGATTGTCCCCAGAGTGGATAAGAAATAATGCTCTAGTAAAAAGCCACCTATGATATATGTTGCTACCACCCATTCTAGTTGAACTAATTGGAAGTACTTGGAGCTTTGCAGCAGTGATGTGGACTTACAAGTAGATGGGGTATTTTGATACTGGCTTTGTTTTGTTCTTTTTTGCTCCTTACTCAACTCTGCTATGACATGTGGAGCATCACTTTCTCCTTCCTTACCTCCCCTGGTTGCAAAAAAAAGAGGAGATTAGATCTGGACCTGGAACTGTTTTCCTTGAAGCTGGTGATATAACTCACTGATGATTTAAGGAGCAACACATTTTAGACTTTTTCCTTCACACTGCTGCTGGAGTTCATGGGGCAATAGCAAGTAAGAGCAGAGAGGAGAGCATAAAAAGAACACTCTGCTGTGCCCAGTACAGGTGTATCAGGCAGAATAGGGAGCATGCCTGTGAATTGTAAGATGCTCTCAAGCCTTTCTGTTGACTTCAAGCAGAACCTGGACTAGAATATCACTGTTTGGCAGGCTTGCATTTGCTCACCCACCATTTTCTTTCACCAGTACCAAGTGAGGAAGTGCAGGATTAATACTTAACTGGCAATCAAAAGGTAGTGAATAATCATATCTCCTAGTGAAGCCTGAGGCTAAAGGGCAAGTGCTTCTTGTACCCAGAATATGTATATATAAAAATAACTGCACAGCCTAAAATACATGCTGTAGACTCTTAGAATAATTGATTTACTCCCTTTTTAAAGAAAAATAAGTATAACTGTTTATTTCTAGATGATCCAGGTATCTCAATTTCATTGGCTGGTAGTCAACCAGACTGCTTCCTTCACCCTGTCCTTTTTCTCAAGTACTGTGTGAAATACAGACGAGACATTTTACTATATCTAAATACATAAATTAATGGAAAGAAGATGAGGAAGGAGAAATTACTATTGGATTTATTGCCTCACTAAATTGTAGTACTGGGATTGGTACATCTCAGCACACCAAGAGCCTGCTACAGCAATATAAACTCTGGAACAAATTGGTTTTATTTCATTAGTGCATTTTGGTATTGTTTTGACTTAGTATTTTTGGACTTGAGACTACATGAACTTTTGGTGAACCTTAGCAGCTGCTCCTAATAAATCACTTTCCTAGTCTAATTTATTTAATGAGGTTTTTCAATGGGGGGTTGTTCAAACTGTATTTTTTAAATGCTTTGTAAGCAGTGTGCATCCAATGACTGTCTTTTGGAATACAGTCTGTGCCAGTAGTGCTCAATATTCAAGAACTCTTTAACCTAATTGTTCTATTGCCATGATGGGCTCAAAACATTTTCTGCTTACAGGATATGAGCCTATGATGTACTAAACATCTTTTTTTAGAGAAGTTTGTGTGATATAAGTTTAGGATTTGAATGTAAGTCTTACTTGGCTTCACAATGAATTTTGTCTGACTGTAAGACAGACAAAACAGGTTTGATAAATTATCAGTATAACATCAAACAAAGGCTTGCTGAACAAGTAGTTTGGATATTGTAGCTCAATTTCTAACTGGTGCCTCCAAGTTATTTTCCTCTCTATGAAAGAACTATCTGAATGTTATTGCTGTGGCAGAGGATGTAGATGCTGTAATGTTATTCCCAGAAATACTGCCTTCTGGACTGAATACCTCCAGCCAGTGACTTGAAAATATAGTTGTCAGCAATGATTTGGTTAGGAAAACCTGTGAATAAGTTGTGCATTTTGCAGATACTTATGGTCAAAAGGTTTGTCCTTGCCAGATCATCTCTGTTCTTTGAGTGTTTTTCTAATATTACCTTTTGAGAAATGTAAAGTTGAGCAGGTCTTTCTTTGAGCTGATACAGAAATCTCCTCAAAAGGTATCAAGACACACTACATCTTGTAGAAAAAGTGTACTCTTCTTTTAAATGCCTCTTGTGAAAAGATTTTTTAAGGTTTATATATTGTGCATAATACAGCATAGAAAATGTGTCCCTCCATGTGCTTGTTTTGACATGATATACTCCGCATGGATAAAGTGTTTTAGTTGCTTTGCTTGCTCACGTTTATCATAAATCATATTCTCCATTTTTCTTGTGTGATAAATGCTGCTTATAATCATTTCATGTAAAGTTTTGGTTTAGTTTTACTAAACGAAAGGAATATCGCATGAAAAGAACAAATGCAAAAGGTTCCTTTTTATGTTTTAAATTTCAACTCAGAAAAGTTCTTGCTCTTATTGGCTTTGTGAGCGTGAAGCATATACGAATTGTGCATGGGAAATAAAGATTTGAATTTATTCTAGTTGCTTCACAGTTTGCACATCAATTGCCTGTCACTTAAAGGTATTTTGGGTTCTGCATGAAATAGTTTGAGTGGTTTTCAAAGAAGATTTTAGCTATTTAATGTCATTCTGCACAAATTTACATTGTTTTATATAGGTGCACTATATGAACAGAACAATAGAACAACAGAAATTCCTAAAAGGATAATTGTAGTAGTTGCAAAAAGCAAAGACATACCTATACAGGCAAAATGAAGTCACATTAATATTCCAAAAATAACACATCAGAAAGTCAATGGGAAGTAAGAGAAGAATTTTTTGTTGTGGTTATTATTTTTTATCATTATGGATTCCTTCTTTATGTCTGTTTTCCATTGTTTGCGGACTTGGTTGCTATATGCATTCTATTCTTTCATTTCATGTTGCTTTTTATTTTGGCTCATTCCTATTCTTTCTTTTTCAATTGTTCCTTTTACCTACTCCATTCTAACTCATTCAAACAATTGTACTTGCTTTTTGTAATATTACAACGTTTACTGACCAATTTTCTTCTCTGGTCTCTCTGTTTTTCAATCATTTTTGTTGATTTTATGTTTGATTTTGATTTAAAAATTTAAGAAACAGTTGAACGGAGTGCAGGAGCAACAAGAACCCTACCCGCTACTTATTCATACAAGCCATTCTTTTCAACAAGACCATATCAGTCATGGACAGCAGCTCCAATTACAGTGCCTGGGCAACCCAAATCAGGCTTCACTTCCCTATCAAGCTCTTCCTCTAACACTCCTACAGCTTCCCCATTAAAATCAATATGGTCTGTTTCTTCCGCTTCTCCAATCAAATCCACATTAGGAGCTTCTACTACTTCTTCGGTTAAATCTGTTAGCGATGTAGCATCTCCAATTAGATCCTTTCGGACAATTTCTTCACCAATAAAAACTGTTGTATCACAGCCTCCATATAATATCCAAGTTTCTTCTGGTTCTTTCATCAGAGCTCCCACAGTAACAGAAGCCACTAATTTAAAAGGGCTGGCATCCACTTCAACATTTCCCTGTCGGACATCTCCAGTGACTACAGCAGGGTCTCTTTTGGAGAGATCATCCATTACCATGACGCCTCCAGCATCCCCCAAATCAAACATTAACATGTATTCTTCAAGTTTGCCATTTAAATCAATCATCACATCAGCATCACCACTTTTATCTTCTCCTCTAAAATCAGTGGTATCTCCTGCTAAGTCAGCAGCTGATGCTGTTTCATCACCTAAAGTCATGATGACTTCATCTCTCTCATCA